GATTGGCTTAGGCCTTCTTCTTCTTTTTTTTAAATATGTTTTTATTGATTTTAAAAAGAGAGGGAGAGGGAGAGGAAGAGGGAGAGAGAGAAACATCAGTTGGTTGCCTCCTGCATCCCCTCACTGGGGTTCGAGTGCACAACCCAGACATGTTGCCTCCTGCACACCCCTCACTGGGGATGGAGGGCACAACCCAGACATGTGCCCTCACTGGGAATAGAACCAGTGACCTCTCAGTGTATGGGACGATGCTCAACCACCTGAGCCATAATGACCTGAGCATCTTGTATGGCTGCAGCGCAGCCCGCCTTCCCTTGCCCACTCGGCTGCCTTCAGTCCCTCCAGGAGTTTCCCCCAACAGCACTCCTCAGTCAACTCCATGGGCTCAAATTTCTGAGTCTGGTTCCCCGAGGAACCACTCTGAGACAGTAAGACACCGATTTGGACCACCTGCAGCAGCTGGTTCAGCCACAGTCAGAGCTCAGTAAATGCTGATCACACTGCAGGCTCCTCTTGTGCCCGCCTCTCTGGTTGTGATGACGACAGGGGAATAATCATCCCTGCAGTTAGCCAGACGCTGGGAGCTGGTGGGGAGGTGGGTGTTACATCATCATCTAAGCGGATGAGGAACAGACTCTCCGAGCTCTTGGGCCATGGAGTATATATTTTTAAATATATTTTTATTGATTTCAGAGAAGGGGGCGGGAGAGATAGAAACATCAAAGATGAGGGAGAACCATTGATCGGCTGCCTCCTGCCTGCTCCCCACTGGGGATCCAGCCCACACCCCAGGCCTGTGCCCTGACTGGGAATTAAACCGTGACCTCCTGGTTCATAGGTCGGTGCTCAACCACAGAGCCACCGCAGCCATGTAACTATGGAGTATTTTTATGGACAAAGTGAACTTGTGTGGCTAGCAGAGATGGCCACAAATTCCTTGACACTCACCATCAAAAGGAGGGGTCTGTGTCTGCTCCCCCTGAGTCTCAGTGGAGGGACCTTTGGCTGTTTTGATTGATAGAAGGTGGAGGGGGTAAGGCTGGGCAGTTCCCAGACCCAGTCCTTGACAGGTTGGCAGCTCCTAGCTCCTGTCCTTGGGAACTCTCTCTTTCTGGGGTCCCTGAGCTGCCATGTAAGAAGTCCTACTTTCCTGAGACTGCCCGGCCGGGGAGGCCAAATACATAAGCTCTGATGGACATCCCCAGTTGAGCCAACCTTCTAGCCGCCCCCCTCCCACAATGCACCAAACATGTGAGTGAAGCTGTCTTGGATCATCCCAAACCCACCCATCTTCCATGTGAACCCCACTTAGTGACCTCGGTCAATCCTACACGAAGCAGAAGAATCACCAGCCAGGCTCGGAGAAATCCTTGACCCACCACATCATGATACAGCAGTGTGGTCCTGTCTTAATTTGTCGTGCAGCAATAGGCATCCAGATAACCCCACCCTGGGCCCCCTCAACACCTCCTTGAACTCTCAGTGCCTCGCTGGGAATGGGGCAGGGAAGGGAATGCTTGGCTCGCGTCTGCTTGAAAGCGGCGGAGGCCCAATACCTCAGACGACTGCCTAAACCTAAACATTTAATTTGCAACCATCCTAGCGGTGGAACGTATTTCACTTGAGCCTTTCATCAGTGCATTTCCACTAGCCAGGCTGTAGGGTCTTGTTCTGAGGAAATGAAATGGTGGTAAATAATTGACAGAACCAAATAGGGGGTGAGGATGACCTCCCAGACATGGCCCCAGGGGGACACAGACCTCTGCGTCCAGGACTGGGGAGCGTAGCCTCACAGGGAACTTGGGTCTGAGGTTTCAATTTAAAAGGAGACAATTAGAGGTGTGTTCACATCTAACCACCCAAGGTCGTGGTTTTTCAAGAAACAGGACTAATTTAGATATTTTTTTTTTCTGTCTCCAGAAAAATGTGTCGGTGTCGGAACGTGTGTCCGGATTCTCCATGTGTGAGAGGCGGCCATCATGCTTGCACGTGGGGCTCTTTCTCCGAGTCGCTCATTGAACACTCGCTACGAGGAGTTCTGAGCCTCCTCGGCTCTAAGGACTGACCCATTAAAACACCTGCCACCGTTCAGAAGCTCCACGGATAATACGAATATCGACAGTCTCACCCTCCGTGCGCTTCTCCAAAAGCACCCCCAGAAACAACAACGCAACAACAATGCAACAACAACGCAACAACAACGTGGAGATAAAATACTTCATACAAGACGAAGGAGCCGTATCTCAGTCGGAGTTCGATGTTTCCAGGTGGCCCTCCCATGGTCGGCAACTCTGGGCGTCCTGGGAGAAAGGAGGAAACGGGGACCCTAGAGGCCTCAGTGTGTGCAAACACTCACTTTACACGCGAGATCCCCAGGCTCACAGCGTCTCTGGGAGGCGGGTGCTGTGTCTCATCAATAAGAACACGGAGAACTGGAGGGTTAAGCAGCGTGCCCGAGGCCTCACAGACAGGGAGGGGTGGGGCGGAGGGGTGGGCGGCCCTAAACTCAGCTGTGTCTGTCTGAGTTCAAGGTCAACCCTCTTTCTAAGTGCAACGCTACCTATGGTCCTTCTGCAAGGGGCTCAGAGCTTCCGGCTCTACTATTGCCAAGCCGGGGTCAATGCCGATCACCAGCTCAGGGGGTGGAGGGCTTCCTCACCAACCTGCAGTCGCAGGACAGCTCCTCTACAGGCCCAGGTGCGTGCAGTGCGACCCGCTCACCCCAAAGCTTTTGCCTGTTGGGGAGGTTCTTGGTGTCTCACTTGGATCTCACGGCGATGGATGTCATTAAATAGGTGATAATCTATGCAAGCCACATTATTCGACCACATTGCCATGACCACAAACAAATACGCAAATGAGGTACATACCCACACAGGTGTGCCCGTTGGAGGGCCTGGCGCCGGGCTGGTCATCGTGAGCTGCAGAGGCCGAGGTGTGAAAGGGCAGGAGAAGGAGCAGAGGAGCCACCAGAAGCACTTTCCGGGGGGACTTCATGTCGGGGCTCCGCACCAGAGGGGCCAGCCCGGCCGCAGAGCCGCTGGCTGAGTGAGGCTGACCTCGAGGCCACAGGAAGGACCAGTCTCGCCCTTCTCTTCTGTCCTCCGACTCACACTACACACACCCCACGCTCACACACGCACTGCTCACTCATATGAGACGAATCAAGGCACACACACACACACACACACACACACACACACACACACACACGTCACTGGTCGCTACTGCAGATCCCGAGAGCCCCGGGCTCCGGAGAGCGGGCGAGGGCCCGGCGTGCGGCTCTTCTGCGCTGCCAACTGCCCCAGAAGGAAAAGCCCCAGTTGCAGCCGAGGCAGGAACACGCATGTCTGTGTTTTCCCGAGGTCAGGGCCCACACCCCCGGAACCCCATGACTGCGTAATGGCCCCGGGGGTGCGCAGGAGGCACTTCCCCTTTCCTTATTGCGAAACTAAATTAAAACTGAAACTGCAGAAAGAAACCACTAAACCACAAACTCACAGCCTGCAGAACCGATCGTCTGTCCGTCTAGAAGTCCTTTAGTTTTGCTGCAAACAGCTTTATCTGGGGAGGTCGGGTGCCTTACTCTGTTGCTGGAGTTCTTTCCTCTAAAGAAGGTGGATGAGTCCCCAAAGGGCCAGGCCTCCTCCAGGCCTCCCGCGTGGTGTGCAGGACAGGAGCAGGCAAAGGGGCAGGGGCGCGCCTGGGTGCTGAGCCTCGGAAGGACACAGGGGCCGCATTGCCCAACACGCTGCTGCGGGGGGCTCCAGGCCGCCTTCTCCCCGCATTTCCCAGTGTTTGCAATCCCCACCTGGCGGTGATTTCTGCCTTTTTACAGACTGATTTTCTGTTTTGAAGTTGCGGACGGAATGCGGTTTTTGTTTTGTTTTGTTTTCTGGAGAAAACACACACACAGAATGGAACCAGATCATTGAGAGAGAAAAGACATATCTTGGGTGCTTTGTTTTCTAAAACAGGACACGGTAAGTCATACACATTCTCAGACAAGACAAGGGGCTGGGCCAAAGTGCCACCATCTAGATAAGCTGGCGCATGCCACTGGCAGTCTGCACGTGGGCTCTGAGGAAGCTTATTATAAACTCCATCAGATATGATGAAAGCTACCAACTCGGTCAAGGTGTCTCTCCGTCCCCTCCCGCTCCCCCACACCCCCTGCCCCGTTCTCCAGCTTTGGCATAGGACTGGCATTTTGAGTCGCTGCAGAATTTGGGGCTTGTATTATTTCTGTGATAGGCAGTTAGACATAAGCAGAGCCAGGACATGGGTGGGCCCGGCACAGAAGGTCACCAGGGTGGAAAGTCCTGAGGGCCTAGCAAAGCACAATAGTAGGGTGGGACCTTGCCCCAGGGTGACCTTGTTTGGACCCCTGACCTTTCCTCCCTGGAGATAACATCTGGGCCTCAGTTGTATTTCAGCTCCAGGCCCAGAAAAGCAGCAAAACCAGCCCCAGCTGCCTCAGGACCAGCTGCACTGACTAACTCTGCCCTGGTGCCGGCCAGTCCATCAGTGGAGACCCGGACCCTGAAAGGACACACCTGGAAGGCTGCTGAATATTCTATTGAGACCTTCCCCCGGGACCTCCCTAAACTCTCCCCCCTAAAACCCTCAGGTCGAGGACCCAGTGCCTCTCCCTCCTCAGAGCATCCCCCTTCCCCCCAGCCTTTCCATTTCCCCTGAGTTTTGCAGGGTCAGAGAGGGACCCAGAGATCAGGAAGTGATTTTGCTAACTGAGTAGAAGCAGGTGCATGTGCCCAAACACCACAGAACTGCCTTCCTGTCCCCAGGGTGGAGGGCTCCCCCTGTTGGCACAAGTGGCCCCCAGCCTGGCTGGTCTCATTTTCCCCACATGTTGTCTCTTTCCACTGAGCCCTGAGTGCCAATGACCTAGGGAAGTGATGGCGAACCTTTTGAGCTCAGCGTGCCAGCATTTTGAAAAACCCTAACTTAACTCTGGTGCCGTGTCACATATAGAAATTGTTTGATATTTGCAACCATAGTAAAACAAAGACTTATATTTTTGATATTTAGTTTATATATTTAAATGCCGTTTAACAAAGAAAAATCAACCAAAAAAATGAGTTCGCGTGTCACCTCTGACACACGTGTCATAGGTTCGCCATCACTGACCTAGGATCTCTGCCCAACTCACGGAAAGGCCTGGCCCGACCTCCCTGCGGCTCGCATAAACTGGTGGGACCCCGGCCCAGGTCGCCAGAGGACCCCTGCCTGCTAGATGCTCCAGGCCTACTTTCCCCAAACTCTGCCGAGAATGAGATTTCTTCCTTGAAGCACCTCGGTACCTGCTTCGCTCAGAGAGCCCCGACAGGCAGAGGGCTGGGGTTTATAATCCCCAAGCGTTCCCCAGGTCCTGGCTTGTTCTGTCTGAATACACTTCCCAGGGACTTCCTCACCTGCATGGGCCTCAGCCATCCCCTCCACAGCAAGTTCCTTAGGAAAAACCACAGGACCTGGCGGCAGGACGTGTTGTATAAGCGGGCGCTCTTCTCTGACCCTCTCCCATTCCCGACACCAAGCGTACTCATTGCTCCTGGCTTCCCAGGATGCTCCACGGTGGTCATCAGTTCACACCTGCCTCTCCTCCCCAGGCAGAGTCCATTTATTCCCCTCACTCAGTCCTCTCTCTGTTCTCTGCCAGGAAAACGGTATATTAGTCCATGACAAGGGCGCGTCAGCTTATTAAAAGAGTTCTGGACTTGCCCTGGCCGGGGTGGCGCTGTTGGTTGGAGTGTTGTCCCATATACAAAAATGCTGCAGGTTCAATCCCCGGTCAGGTCACATGTGAGAGGCAACTGATTGATGTTTCTCTCTCACATTGATGTTTCTCTCTCTCTCTCTCTCTCTCCCCTCCCCCCCCCCTTTCTTCTTCTTCTCCTGCTCCTTCTCCTTCTCCATAAAATAAAAAGAGTCTGGGCTTAGGATCTGGACACCATCTTTTTATGGCTTCCTAACTTGCTATCCTGGTGGGTCCAGGAAAATTGTGAGGCTTAAAGAGACAATGTGAGTAAATATGTATAAGGAAATACTGCATTGATGAGCATTAAAATGTTTCATTGAATAGCTTTCAAACTGAACACAATTACAAATACAATATTAAAATTTCTATTCAATGCCAATGTTTGGCTTCTAAATAAAAGCAAATAAATTTAAAATTCAGCCTCATTTAATTGGACCCACCGTTGTCCACAGGGTTCTAGAAAACTTTTAATCAAGTCACTCATTCAATGTCAAACTGAACACAATTACAAATACAATATTAAATTTTCTATTCAATGTTTGGCTTCTAAATAAAAGCAAATAAATTTAAAATTCAGCCTCATTTAATTGGACCCACCGTTGTCCACAGGGTTCTAGAAAACTTTTAATCAAGTCACTCATTCAATGCATGTTTATTGATGACCGACGACTGGTGACCACCGTGCAGTCAGGCACTGTGGCAGGCCTGGAAGTTAAGACGCCTGCCCTCACCGAGTTTATATTCGGTGGAGTCACACCTGACTTGCTGTGCCTGCTGATAAATCTACTTGAATGTGGTTATAGGGCTCCTGCTTCCTTCCTTATTCAGGCACCTGATTGGAGCAGGCAGCTGTGTGACAAGTGCCCCCTTGGTAAGTGCTGCTCCCGCCACGCCCACCCCTTGGCTCCGTGTTGCCCTGAGAGTGGGCGCAGAGGCTGGGCTCTAGGGCTCGTGGCATGCGATGGCAACGTGGTGACGGTAAGCGAATTCCATAGACATAGTGACACAGCTGCTTGTACCTGGAAATCGATGACCTGGGGCTTTTTTATCTGATCCTCATTGATCACTTTATATAAAATACATTTTATAGAGTCACAGACCCCTTTGCCATTCTGATGAAGACTCTGTATCTTCTTCCTAGAAAAAGGATTTTGTATTTGCCAATTTTAATGCCCAAAGATTTTTTAAAAAAATCGTGGTCCCCTGAAACTCATTTGTTTACTCACAGGTCTGGAAGGCCTTACTATCCTCAACTTCTTACGCTGCACTCCATCTGTGTGGATGTCCCCTGAACTGGTGGTTTCCTCTTGAAATGTAGGGGATTTGATTGAGAAATCGTGTAAAGTTTGGGCTACTTCCACATTAGCACCGTGATACAGGCTCTCTGTTGAGCAAGAGCATCGGGGTGAACGTTGTCCTGGGTCCGGCTGTTGTCAGGAGGTGATGTGCGGGGAACCCCGGCCCAAGGGTTGACCCGCTGGCCCCAAGCCAGTCACCCTGCATTGGCCTTCATTTCTTCTTCTCAGTTTGTGGCAATAAAACCAGCGTTCCTTTGTCTATTTACCTATTTGAGGGACCTCCTTCCTTTCTGTTTGTATCCTTCCTTTTGCCCCTCACAAAATCTGATGCACACCCTCCCGGTCACTCGGAGAAACCAGTGTGGGCGGTCTCCCTTTCCCCAATCTTCAGAGTATGGTCTCAGGGAGTAAAATGGTGACATCAATTCAGAATTAGTTAATGACATTTATTTTTTAATATGTTAGCCCAGGTAATGGCCCACCAAAGACGTTCATGGCCTAGCCTGGGAAGCTGGGGAAATGAGTTTCTTTCTTTTTTTGTTTTTTAAATATATATTTTTATTGATTTCAGAGAGTATGGGAGAGGGAGAGAGAAAGATAGAAACATCAGTGATGAGAGAGAATCATTGATGGGCTGCTTCCTGATCACCCCACACTGGGGATCGAACCTGCAACCCTGGCATGACCGGAAATCAAACTGTGACCTGGTTCATAGGTCGACACTCAACCACTGAGCCACACCGGCCGGGCCGTGAGTTTCTTTCTTAGTGGCTTCTCAGTACTTCGCTCCACGCAAGTGCAAGCACAGGCACAGCCTTAGGGCCGAGATGCCCCAAGAGGTGCCCGTGTGCAGAACCTCTAGCTCACGTGGCCACGTTTCCCTCCTCCACGGGGTCTCCTCTGTGTCCGCGAGAACTTGGCCTTGTCGAGGACGCCTGGCCTCGCTGGCTTTCCTCTGACGCCTTCGAATGCTTCCAGCGGGAGGTTGTTGGGTCCCGGCGACTCCATCCCAATCAGAAGTGGAAATACTCCCGTGTTTGGTTTTTAATTGATTCAATATTGAGGCCCATTAAAAATTCAAGATGAAGAATGGAAACTATTTTGTGT